CTTTTTCATTCTGTACTGTTTACTTGTGATTCTCCTTACAATATTTTTTGTAACATCAATTTTGTGATAGATCTGAATAGCTTTCTTCAATAATCTAGCTTTTGGTTTTGTTAAAATTCTGTATTTTTGTTGTTTTTATTCTCTTCCATTTTGTTATTTCTATTACAACTTTCCTTTTCAAATTTTAGGGTTATTGTTCTTTCTCCTTTCTAATATCTTGCATTTTTGTCTTTAAATACACTTAAGCCTTGGTCACCTTGAACAATGTGGGAGTTAGGGGTACAGACCTCTTATGTCATCAAAAATTGAGTATAATTTTTGACTCCCCAAAATCTTAACAATGAATAGCTGACTGTTGACAGGAAGCCTTACTCATAATATAAAGTTGATTATCACATATTTTGTATGCTCTATATATTACATATTGTATTCTAACAATAAAGTAAGTTAGAAAAAGGAAATGCTATTAAGAAAATCCTAAGGGAGAGCAAATGTATTTACTAGTCATTAAGTGGAAGTGGATCATCATAAAGAAGTTCATCCCTTTCATCTTTACGTTTGGTAGACTGAGAAGGAAGAAGAAGAGACGAAGATGGTCTGGTTGTCTCAGGGGTAGCAGAGGTAGAAGAGGTGGAGAAGGTAAAATGTTATACTTCATGTAACTTATATTGAAAAAAAAGACACCTATTAGTCTTTTTATTTTTTAAAAAAGCCTATAATTGCACTAACAGTACAATTCAAACCTGTGTTGTTTAAGGGTCTACCGTATTTCTGATTTCTAACAACAGGGTTTCTCAACCTTGACACAATTGACATTTTGAGCTGTATGATTCTTTTTTTTTTTTTTTGAGTTGGAGTCTCACTCTGTCGCCCAGACTGGAGTGCAGTGGCCGCTCCCGGTCACCGCAGACCCGACCTACTGGGCTCCGGCGATACTTCCACCTCAGCCTTCCCAGTAGCCGGAATTACAGGCATGCGCTACCACTTCCGGTTGATTTTTTGATTTATTGTAGAGATGAGGTCTCGCTGCCCAGGCGGGTCTCGAACCCGCGGGCTCAAGCGATCTACTCACCTCAGCCTCCCAAAGGCGCGGGATGACAGGCTGAGCCACTGAGCCCGGCTGGTAGTGTTTTTAACAAATGATACCAGAACAATTGGATACCCACGTGCCAAGAAAAGGTGCAGAGGGAAGAGGGTTTGTAACATTTTTTGAATCACATAGTTATTAATCCTAAATAGATCATAGGTCAAAATATAAAATCTAAAGCTATACAACTTTTAGAAAAATAGTTTTGTTAGGATAAGTGAAGATTTCTTCATAGGACACAAAAAGCACACGTCATAAAAAACTGACAAATTGAACTTTATCAAAATTTAAAACATCCATTCTTCAAAAGACACTGTTAGAAAAATGAGAATATAGCCCAGGCTCGGTGGCTTAGCCTGTCATCCCAGCACGTTGGGAGGCCGAGGCAAGTGGATTGCCTGAGCCTGCGGGTTCGAGATCCACCTGGCAACTTGGCAAGACCTCGTCTCTACAATCAATCAAAAATTAGCCGGGCGCGGTAGCGCGCGCCTGTGGTTCCAGCACTTGGAAGGCTGAGGCGGAAGGATCGCCGGAGCCCAGCAGGTCGAGGCTAGGATGGCTGGGAGCGGCCACGGCCCTCCAGTCTGGGCGTCAGAGTGAGACTCAAAAAAGAAAAACGTAAAACGAGAATATAAGCCGAACTGGAAGAAAGTATTTGCAAAATTCAAATCTGATGAATGATTGTGAAGCAGAATATATAAGGAAATTACAGCCGGGCTCGGTGGCTCAGCCTGTCATCCCAGCGCTTTGGGAGGCTGAGGTGAGTGGATTGCCTGAGCCCGCGGGTTCGAGACCCGCCTGGG